ACAAACCCACCAGTGTCACCCTGCACACCCGGCATTCATGGTTGCTGTCCCTAGGAAGAGAGGCAGAGGGTGGACTTTCAACTCTGCCAACAGGCATGGCAGGTATCTTTGATCTTATTTTGTTTCCTCTGAAAGTGCTTGCGTTCAAGGCAACTAGGTTTTGCTCAGTATATTTAAGTTACTTGAATTCTTTGGCTTTTTCTTTCAAGGTCTAGTTTTTTGATGGTCAGTTTTTAAAAGATTTTTTTCCAACAATCAAGAGGTAAGAGACTTGGTAATAAAGCTGCGTTAAGTGGGAAGAGGAATTCTTCTTGAATTGTTGTACTCAAAATCCTTTCAGAGGAAACATAGTGAGCGAGGAGGCAGAGTGGATGGCTTACAGAGCTAGCAGGAGCTGCTCTGAAGCCCATCCATGGTGCCAGCTGCACTGGGGAAGCCTGGTGACAGCTTCTACATTTAATCCTTGCCTTGAGCCTTCCCCCAGCGAAATTTAGAAAAGGGAGGAGGCAGTACATGGATACAGCCAATCCTGATACAACATAACCTAAACTGGGACAGCTGAGACTGCTGCCTGGAATCCAAAGACTCCACAGCACAGTGAGTGATGGGAGGGTGTTTTCAGTTCACTGTACTTTATTTGGTTCAAGTGTGCATGAGGTCTGCTTTCTACTTTAGAGGACTTATCTTAAAAAATACAGAAATTATTTCAGCTGGAGGAAGTTGACAGCTGTGTCAGACAAATGGCTTTACTCATGTTTCAGTGAATACTGGATCAAGATTACAACTCTTTTTTTTTTTTTAAAAAAGAAATTCAGATTTCTAAAAATACCTTTTTTGTTCTCCTGACAAATCCTTTCAATACTCCACTGTTAAGGAAATACGTTGTTAATAATAAACTAAATAGACTAATTCATAAAAATTACACTTTTTACATTTAATTATTTTGTAGGTTGCAGCCTAACTAATTTCAGATGAAAGATTTGGATAAGTTTAATTTACAAAGTCAGTAGGTTACAAATTTAGTCTGTATTTTCCAGAGAAGGGTGTACTTCATTTTGCACACTTCACACTCATTAATAAATATTGAAAGGCCAGATACTATATATTGTACTTTGGGCTATCTCATTAACCCAATAAAGATAACCAGATACAATCAGTAAATTGTACTAATGCCATTGGAAGAATCCTCTCCACACTCATAAATGGCACAGCTATGCATTGCTAATAAGACTTATTTTTAACTTAGGCCATCACACAAGGCAAACTGCAAATAGAAAGTTGGCTTCTTGCTGAAAAAGGTGCTCTTCTTACATAACGTTCCAGTTCAATCGTAAAGACACTTCAAGGAGAAACATACCTCAGCGGTAATAATTAGGTTTTAGAAAACAATCCAAATCCTTCTCAAGACCCATGTTTCAATTCTTTCATGAAACTTACATCATCCTCATTTATAGACTAACTAAACAAATGCAAAGTTTTATTAACTTTGGACAAAGCCAGTGAGTTAGTAGCTGGCCTAAGGACAAAGAACCTGTTTCTATCACTTCTAACTTGTGAGTTTCTAATTACAAAGCTGTGGTTCTTGTATCAACTGATAGTCTGGAAAGAAAAGACTTAAGTGGTTAGTGACTAGACTTCTCTGTCCTACTTTTAATCTATACAAACCTAAAGAAAAAACAGTTTTTTCCTGTATGAATAACTGATCGAAGATGAACTGACTAGGAGTTCAGATAGTTACACTTAAGGGAATTTAGATTTCCTTCAGTTCTTTCCTTCCCCTACCCCCATTAATATCAATCAGAACCGGGCACGCTCCACAACACACACTGAGCATGTCTACGCATTTCCATACCATAGAGGAACACCACACAATCTTAGTTGTTCAACAAGAAGGCCAAAAGCAGTTTGAAATTAACATGACAAAAGTATTCTCAGTGTGAAAACATCCAAGAGCTTTATTTATTGGATGTGTACTTCAGAGGGCAGACACAATGTCCCTCATACAAGAGCATTATTTCACTTGCAATTTAAAAAAAAACCCAAACCCAAAACAAAACACACTAAAGCCTTGTACTTGACATCCAGTTCTCCTTATGTATCACATGGAGGAAGACTTCAAGAAGAGAAGAGCCTTAAAATATTTCAGAAAATTATTCTAACCCTTGAGATAACTAAGTTAACTTTAAAAGGAGAAAAGTGTGAACCAATGTGTGCATTTCCTTTACCTCCTCCCGACAGGAAGTCTAAAAAGTGACTTCTAGTTGGATGTTAAATTTGAAGGTAGTCAGTTGCTGATACTACACATTTTAATGGTATTATCTTCTGTTACACAATTCAGCCACACTCAGGAGGCTGTCGCTTGTGCTTCACGTTTTCTACTTGGAGCACCTTTTGCTTTACAAGGCTGTAAGACTCCTAAAGACTTCTACTAAACTTAAATGGGAGGAAGGAGAGGCACAGGGGAAGAGAACAAGACTGCTGCTGCACAGTGAAAAAATGAAGTTCACTACTAATTTTGAGAACAAACATCTTCCATGCATTCTTCTGAAAAGTAATGAAGACAGTTACCTTAATAATAGGAAATGTACTGCTGATGAAACAAATTTATTTTAATTTCATTCTTACAGAAATGGAAAACCAAAAATTGTCAGATCACTTGCAAGCCACTGTGGACACAATATATAACTTCTAGAGCTACCTTCAAGAGTCATAAATTTAAAAAATATTAACTTAGAAGGCCAGAAATAAGATGCCAAAATATGTAAAAATTTAAGCTGTAATCCTCACCACTTTCTGTGGTGAGGATCTCAGAATCATTGTTAGAAGAAGAAAGTGCAGAATAGAAATGCTCTACAAGTTAGCTGACCAGAAGCCCTAAATCAGCATCTAGTGCTGAGGATGTTCTGGTTTCCAAGCAACTCCTTCCCAGCTGTTCAGTAACAGAACAAATCCTTTTCATGCCCAACAGGACTGATATTGAATAGCATAACACGCTTGACTCCAGGCACATTTTCAGAATGTTCCTAGCTCTCAAGACACAGTTGTGTGGGGCAATACAGAGAAGGAAATAAAATCATTTGGGGTTTTTTGGTTTTGTTTTGTTCTCTTTTCTTTTTAAGTAAGTAGCTGAACTCAGAACAACAACAACAAAAAACCAAAACAAGAAACACAGGGCTGAGCAAGGGATGGCAAGGGCGGGGCGAGTGGAGGGAAGTGCATTCTACAGTTTCTCAGTGGGGCACAATAGCAACTTTGTTAATCTGGACAAGTTGAAGATTTTCTGAATTCCACTAAAACAAATTTCTTTTCAAGAGGGAAAGATGATTTAATTTCTTTACAATATATTTTAACACTTTGATAGTCCACACAGGCCCTGCCTAAAGGCAGGCTGATGACGGAGATTCTGAAGACAGAAGTTCTTCTCCCAGTTAACTTGTCCGGAGACAAGTGCAGGTTAGTAAATCAAATATTAAATGGAAGTAGAAATCAGACAACAGAGGTTATTTACTGACAGTTAATATGCACTTCAAGGTAAGCAGTATCTTTTTAATTATTGTCCTGCAATAAGGGTTATTTTCTATTTTAGAGAGACAATTTGAAATGCTAGCAGATACAAGCGGGCTTACTCATACGCTACAGATTTTCTGGAATTCTTAACCTAAAAACACATTAGGTTGCTGAGTTAGACAAACTACAGCAACACTTAGCAATTATACACCAGAGTAGTATAAAATACTATACAATGGCTCAAACAAATGTCTTCAGCTGTGGCACATAGGTAATACAATCTTGTACTCCAAACACAGACACTTCTGTGCAGCTATATGTACACTTTGCATATAAAAACTTACTGAAGATAAATAAATTGCAAACTTCCTCTAGCTTTGAAACATTATAAAACAAAATAGTTTAAGAGTTTTACCAGAATTCAACCTGGCACAACTTAACCACATTGACATTAGTATCTATCATATTATAGATCAGATTCTTAATTCCACTCAGCCTTTCTTGAATAGTTAACTCTTTAAAAAGGGGGCCTGGAGCCCTAACAGCTGCTCTCACTTCACACAAAACAACAGAATAAAAGCTACATGAATGAAAAACGGGCATGCAAACAGAAGTAGTCTACAATTTTTCTTCCCTGGATATAAGATAGATGTTCTGACAAAACAGACCTCCCACACCTCTCAGAGTTGAAAGAAGATCACTTCTTAGTCCTTTAAAAGGTATTTAAAAGAGATTTGCCATTTCCATATAAATTTTGTATTGCAAGATGATTAAAAATTAGTCTGTAGGTGAAATACTTAAGTGCAGACTATCCAATCTCTCTGGCTACCTCAAAACCCATACACCTGAAAGCACTTTTAAGTGCGCTCTGGTTACACTCCAATTCTATATTATCAGGATGATATTTGAATAATCCTAAACTCCCTCCTCCTGCTTTCCAAAGGTTGCAAAAAACCCCAAGGAAACCAGAACAAAACCACCATCCACCACAGTTAGGTCCCTTAACCAAACAACTGGACCAGGGTGGCAGAGGACAAGGCAGTCACCCAAACAGATGCAGACTTTACATCCAAGGCATCAGTCTTCTCACGGTGGTTTAAAAGATTAACAATTGCTTCTACATCATTGAAAACTTTTAAAAAACATTTTAAAAAGGAAAATACCAGTGTTCATAATTCTGCCAAAGGCAGACTTTTGGTGCTTCCAAGAAACCAAAGCATCAAACTGCCAAGACCTAAGAAACATGGTTTTTAATTTTATTTCACTGCAGTCCAAGAAATACAGGAGAGCTTTCTTCCACATCACTGTTTGCCTCTTGAGTTTTTTACATTAAGAGAACATGTTTGTTGTCAGCTTTATCACAAGGCATGCAACTAAGTGATGCGTAAAAATAAATTGTGCAATGCAGCTTGTATGGGAAACAGGATGTGAGTTCTTCCAGAGAGTGACATACAAATTGCACAGAGAGGAAGGATGTAAGATTGTTCTCATACCTTCCCTTCAGGTTTTCAAGTTCTCTGTGGTGAAGCATGCTTCTCATGTGTTCTTCCATCTCCTTCAACGTGGGGAAAAAAGTAAAATTGGTCAAAGCAAAACAAAACGGTACATCATATTTGAAAAGCTCACTGTTGAGAATGCTCCTGCCTTGCAAGGTGTACTCTACTTTTGCAGGGCTGTAGCAGTTGCCATTCCCGTTTCTATGACCATGAAAGCACAAGTAGTCACACTCTCAGGAAGTCATATAATGTTACCTTTCCTGCGGAAGGACACACAGGAGTCATTAGAATTCAACAGAAGGGGAGCAGAATTCCAGGAGAAAGACAGACAGGAATGCATGTAGCAAAGCTTATTAGACTGATTTTTGACAAATTACTGTTGATCATAATTTTGTATTAAAAATCTCATTGCTACCACTCCCCAAAATCACAGCACTTAAAACACTGTTCTCCTGTGCAATCTAAGCAGTCTCTCTGTATTTGTATTATGATACAGCTATAATTTCATCATTACATACTATCTTACTCTGCTAGATGCACTTCAGAAACTTAGATGTACATAACATGTCAGTTTGTTGTTTACAGCAACCCTGCTCCATGAACTGCAGTGGTAGCATAATCAATTGATATTGAAAGAGAGCTGCTGGAAGAGAAAGAATGTTTGTAATTCAGCAAAAGGAAGCAGTTCAAGAAGATTTAACTTTCTCTTGGTGTTTGAGACAAAGTGTTTGGAAATCTTCAAAGAAGAGATGGGATTTTAGTCCCTGAAATCCCATCTGCAAAGGGAAAGCAACATCTTCAACCTTGAAGAGTTGTGTGAATTAATACATTGGCATTTGCAAGATATCCATGTGCCATGTGGCTAAGCAATATACAAAGGTCCATTAACAAACACTCAGTTTCAACGCAGACTTTGCACCATACGCAGAACATAAAAGATACACACCAAATTGACACATTAATGAAAACACATGCTGTGCAATTCCACATTCTCCTTTCATACGGAAACACAGACCTCCCAAAAGGAATTTAAAACATTGTGTATTACAGTATGACATGGCACAATTTATAGCCAAATGAGTTTGAATGCTTTTCACTTTATTATCTTTATAGAAAAACATAAAAAACTCAAAGACCTCTATATTTTTAACATTCAGAATCAAGCATACTGCACAGCTCATTTCAAGAAAGATACTCTAAAGCACATAAAGCACATGCAAATATATTACTTGATTTGTGATAGACCTAGATCCATAATGTACTTGTTAGAGGGAAAAACCCTCATACTTCACACAATTTTAAAATGGAAAATTTCTTAGACACATTTCGTATTAGTATCTTTATGTTAGTATCTACTGATAGATGTAAAGCATTTATTATTTACCTTTTTTGAGTTGTACACAATGTGACATAATATGCATTTTCGTTCTCGAACCATGCTTATTACTCTGGAAAGATCCTATCCCATACCTGCAAATAAAAATAATTTTAAAGAACCAACGTTCAGGATTACTTCCTCCCCCCCCGCCCCTTATTCTGCTTTAGTAAGGAAAGTGAAAATAAGTTACTGTTCAGGAAAACACTTGTGCTGAGTTTAAGAGAATATATATCTCTTGTGCATAGTCAATATTCTTCAAAAAAAATAAGGTAGTTCAGAACTGACCTCTAAAATCTATAATAAAAATTAGCTTTCCCTTTCTTTCATTTTGTTCCTTGTCCTCCAAGACATGGCACTCATTCTACAAGCAAACAGAGATCTTTAGGAATCCTCTCAGCTACTCAAAACAGATTAACAAAACACTTTTCAACTAGGATGATGACAGGGAGATAAGGAATCTTATCAAGTAGAGCAAACTCAGATCTTTATTTTGTTACACAGGGCAGCTCAAGTATGGTATTTAAGGTCCTAGAAAAATGAAAGGAAGGCCATTCGTGACATCAAAGACTGACAGTCTTCAAGGTTTATGAGTCCATTTATTTACCATAAAATAAAACCGAAAGTGATTTAAATTCAGTATGTTTCTCATTGACCTCCATAAGAACTACATATATGCATGTACTGAAATACTCAATTTAGACAGCATTTTAAGACACGTTCTGTAGCAGCATGGTCTACATGGGTACGTTACGTATCTGAATCATTAATAAAAGTTATTAATTTTCCTTAATTATTCCCAATGGTATGAGATTATTCAAAATCTTGCACCAGAATATTAAACATTTTAACACTGATCTACTTTAGACTTGCATGTATGCAAATGAAAGCAGCAGAGCATCAAATTAAATGCTATATGTATTTTATCATAATATTGAATTCATAAGGAAAGCAATTAAATTAGAGGTACGTAACAGTCCAGGTTATAATACAAAGACGGACATGTTTGCATAAGTAACAGAGTATAATCTTTGCCCTTTTCTTTCTCTTAAACGACACTTAAATGCAGAATGATCATGCATTATAGTAATTTTTCATTGACTTGGCAGAAGCAGTTCCTCAGCCTTAAATGCAAAGAAATGCATCTTTTTACTACTAGGCATTTTTGTATCACCACACAAAAAAGACAAATCCTTCCAAAAGCTTTGCTATCTTATATTAGTCAACTTCAGAGCTAACTTAGCTAATACCATCAAACTCAACCTACAAGAACCTTCTTCAACAGCTCATCTCCACAGCTTACCCTACGAAGTTAATTAGAATTATTTACCATCAACCTTCTGTATCAAGGGCATCAAAGCGTCCAAATCTGATACTGACTAGAAGCTGTGAGCAAACAGCAAGAACTGGATTTTTACCAAATCCAGATTATCCAGAGTTAAAGCAGCTCTGACATTCAGTGGTACCATCCAACTGTAAACAAACAAAAATAAGCAAGTAAAACCACACCCACTCCCATTCCAAAAATGTGGTTCTTTGTCAAATAACTCTTTTCTTCCAGATTTGCATGTCCATTTACAGTTAACGTACGCACCAGCATCTGTCAAGCTTAAAAGGGAAGGAACTGAAGAGTTGCGATAGACCTTTCGCCTTAGACTATAGAGAAAGCAGTTTCCTCCCTAAAAAAATCCACATCATCATACCAAAACAAACACACTTAAAACGCAACAGGAGATTCAATCACCTTCTTATGTTCCCTATCCAACATTCCTAGTGTGCCATTCTTCATCTCACTGAAATACCTGGTAGTGTTTAAATGTGCATTCTCTAGCTTTATCACATGGACACCTGATGTACTTGAATCATTAGCAACAGCTATTTATTTTGACAAATCACCCCCAACAAAGGTACAAGATCATTCAGAACTTTGCACCAGCCTAGGTCATACAGAACATGCATATAAATTCATATGATATTCAAATTCATATTCTGACACAGCTGGTAAGCGAGCCTACCAGGGGAGG